GCAGAACAACAAAAATTCTTCCATCTCTTTCTCTACCTCACAACTCCTGAACCTATTATTCATACTAACAAGAATTTCCAGCCCTTCTACCCTTCCCTCTTCTCTCAGCCCATCACCCCTGCACTGTCTTCCCTTCCCTCTTTTCATTTTCTTGACCTCTTTAACCATATAACATCCCTACCCTTGAATTTTCTGTGCCCTTATCCTATCATCATCTGAACTTTGGCAAAGCTCAACCCTAGTTTATTCTCACCATCAGTCCTTTTCCTTTCTACTTATATGCTTCAGAGCTCTGCTGGAAAACTTATACAAGCATGTGTAACCATAAGCTGGAAATGCTGGGGAAGTGCTATACTTTCTATGTTAATTCTCTGAGAATGATAACATTTCATCTTCCCACCTCTAGTTTTCTCTGGTTCTCTGTGTTGACCCAGTACCCAGAAGGTATGGGTTAGAGTGGATTTACCTAATTGGAATGCGTTTTCAAATACCTTCCCCTCCCCCATGTAATATTTAACTGAATCCTAGTCGTTTAAATGACTTACATCCCCACAGGAAAAAAACAAAGCATGTTTAGATGCATATAATGCTTTTCTTTAGACTTGTAATCAATAAAAGCAATAAATAAATACATAATAAACAATCTATTACATGGCTTCATGCCCATAGTCTTCTCCAGACCTGGATATTTCCTAGATAGTACATAAGCTGCTCCAGCCTTAGGAGATTTAAGAAATGCGTAATCCAATTTGCTTAACTTCATGCCTACTTCTCCTGAAAGCAATGGACAACATAGTTTGCACATGCCTGGTTAGTCTGGTTGTTAGACGAAGAATAAGGAAATCTGGATTCAGGACCTCTCACAGGGTAAGGCACGGATTCAACATCTAGTACAAATTGGAACTCCTGATAGCAGGTGATTTTCCTTTCAGTGTCCTATTGCTGGCAGGAATCTCTAGCTACTTCTCACAACATCTAGATAAGAATTTATGGAGCAGAGTGAGTAGACTCAGTTGCTAGCCCTAACAAAGAAAGTCTACTGCTACCATTGCCTTGGCTGTGACTACTACTTCTCCTTGACTGTGACCATGGAATCTCTCTCTACTACTCATCAGTTCCCATGGTTTAAGCATCTACAGATGATTTTCAGTTCTATATATCCAGCTATAGCCTCTCTCCTTAGACATCTCAAATTACTTAGGTATCTCAAATTCAATATGTCTAAAACAGGACTCATCTTTCTATCTCCCCCCCAAAAGAAAAGAAACCTATTCTCTTCCTATCTTCCCTATGAGTGACAAGAGCATCCTAGTCACCCATGTCACAAACTTGGTGTCATGCTCAATACTTCATTCCCATTTTCCCTACATATCCAGTCTCTTGCCAAATCTTGTCATTTCTACCTTCACAGCATCTCTCATATGTATCCTTTTCATTCCACTCGTATAACCCTATCTTAGGTTTTCATCACTTCTCACCTGTGCTATTTCTACAATCTTCTAACTGGTCTACCTGTCTCAAGAGTCTCTACACTCCAATCTATTCTCCATCGAGCTTCCAAGGTAATTTTTCTAATCTATAGGTCTGACTATGCCACCACTGCCTCCATTACCTCTTGGTTTCCTCAGTTCCCTTCAAAGTTCAGGTCAAACTCCAACTTCTACAAGTGGATTTTCCCAATCCCCTAGCTGCTAATGTCTTCCTCTCCCATTTTACCTTCCAACTACAGTGTATATACCTTTTGCATACCTAACTTTGCATGTTGAATTCCCCCATTAGAATGTATACTTGCTAAGGGCAGGGCCTTTACTTGTATCTCCAGAAGTTGGCATAGTGCTTGGCACACATGCTTAGCAGCGCATATTATAAAGCACCTGATAGAAAAAGACTGAGGGCTTAGGCTACTATGCCCGGAGAAGACTTAAGTAAAAACTTAATGGTAGTCTTAAGGCTAGGGCAAGATTCAAGAAAATGGTAGCCATTTAACCATTTTTTTCTTCACTGATAACAAGATGAGTTAGCATACTTAAATTAGAAATGCCATAAAAAGCTAGATCTCTAAAATCCTTTCCTTCTTTTAAAGAGTAGGTAGACATTGGGAAAAGTTACTAAAAACAGATTTAGATGAACAAGAACAGACTTTACTAGACTGAAAGACTGATTCCATCTGAGTCACTGCATGTCAACAGAATGATGTACAGATAAAGCAGTTTCTGGGAAGCACCATTCTCCATCACTGCAGCTCATGAGACAGCCTTTGCTGACTATCTATCCCAGGCCATTGTAACTGAATTTTGGGACTTGGAAGTTTCACAAAAGAAGCAAATCAGTCATCAATGCAATAAGCAAAAGTTCTTTATTTGGAACATCTTTACCTGTATAATGAATGCATAGGTCTTAATTTGAGATAAAGAAATCACGAGCAAGGGAGGCATAGGTAGAAGGGCTCAGGTCAAAGAATAAATCTACAGCAGAAATTCTTTTAACCTGGAGTCTGAGAATTTTCAAAAATATTTTTCTGGCTGATGATTAATAACTAATTTGATAATATTGTATAATTATATTTCAATATAATTGGTTTCTTTTGGAATCTTATGTATCTACATTAAAAACATCATTCTGATAAAGGTCCATAGATTTCACCAGAATGCCAAAGGGGTCCATGATACAAAAAAGGTTAAGGACTCCTACTCCCAGTTTGTCAGAGAGACAAAGACATAACTACACCTCTGGAAAGGACTAGATACATCTATAACTCAACCAGCTGAAGGGTCTTTTGGCCTTGAGAGAAATGTTCAGTGAGCCATAGCAGGAGAAGAAAGAGGATAAACGATCTTGTGAGAAGTACCCTCCTGACCTGACACACAGATCATACCCAACTCTTGTCACTCCTCATCATTCAATGTGGATCTCATGCCACACAACACAGCAACTCTACCCTGAGGACAAGGGTCATGGTTTTATAGAGAGGAAAAGGAGATCTCTAGCTAGTGTACCTCATTAGTTTCCCATCTCTGAAGTCACATGCAAGAGGCCACCAACTGGAAAGTTTGCACTGGAGTATAGAAGTTTCCAGCATGAAGGGCTCAAGACTGGAGGAATGTTCAGAAAATGGAGAAGGTAACAAACATGGAGATGTCATGTGCAGAGCAAAGATAACCTGTGACAAGAAAGGCTACATGTCACAACCATGGAGATATTTCTGAACATCCCCAGCAAAGCCTTGAATCTTTTGTTCAACCACACATATGGTTTCCCCCCTGCCGCTATCCTACTGTCAAGGATATTGTAGAATATCCTTGAATAGCAAGAGAACTTATAGGAGAACTTTAAGGATTAAACAAACAATTTACTATTGTATAAATATAATTCTGCCTAGTGATAAAAAGATGAATTATGCTACTGCCAGCTCAAGGAGTCTATGATTCATTTATCACAACCTAAAGTATAAGAATGTTAATTTAGAACAGTACAGATGAGGCCAATGGCACAATTCCAAGCTCACTGGCACTCCAAAAGCAGTAGGCAGATGTAAAAGCAGAGGACATTTTTCTTTCATAACTCTCTCTAGTTGGGACCTAGTATAATCAATCAAACAAGAAAGTGATGCTGACTGAGCAGGTATCATGCAAGAAACACAAATTCTAGGCACTGGGGTGGGGGTGGGGATACAAAAGTATTATTAGCTTACAATCTACTTGGAGGACACAAAAATAATACCCTGAAAATAATTTGAGAACCAGACATTACAGCAGAAGTTCAGAAAAGGAAGGAATTGGGGTGGGTTGAAGCATTCATCACAGAAGAATAAGAAATTGATCTGGGGTTGGTGGGTTTTAGATGGAGGTGGCAAAAAATGTTTCAGGATGGGGAACAAGCTGAGCTAAGTCACAGAACAGGGAATGAGTATGGCATGCACATAGAGAGAGTGACAAGACAAACCTGACTGGGGTGTTAGTCCAGTGAAACCTATGGATCCCGGTTCAGAACAATGTTTCTAAATATACAAAATATTTGAGATTGCAAAAGAAATCCATTATAGTGAAATATGGTTATCAAAATGGCTTTTAAGTGGCACAGTGGATAAAGCCCCTGGTCTGGAATCGGGAAGGCTTGGACTCAAAGCCCAGCCTCAGACACTTACTAGCTGTGGTACCCTGGACAAGTCACTTAACCGTATTTGCCTCAGTTTCCTCATCTGTAAAATGATCTGGAGAAGGAAACAGCAAACCACTCCAGTATCTTTGCCAAGAAAACCCCAGATGGGGTCATGGGTCAGACATGATTATAGTGGAATTTCTGTATCAAATACTGCTTGAACTACCTGAGCAATAATCTGGCACCTAATCACCCTTTGTTATTGTTGTTATTATCATTTTACAGATATTTAGCTGAACTCTTTGCAAGAGGAGTGTGCCAATGAGTTTAGATTACAATCTATGTGCACAGTACTTACAAAAACATAGTGATGTTTTTAATATTCAACAGCAAACAAATCTGAAAGACGTTAATTAATCACTTAATAGATAGACACTGTGCTAGATACACAGTATAAGAAATAAAATATTTTCTATCTTCAAAGACCCTACAGTCTAGTAAACCATATGAAGCTAAGGGGAGGGTACTCCAGATAAATCAGTAGGAAGTAAACTAGGTCTCAAGAAAATAATTGCAAGTATTATGAATTTTCCACCTTTATGCTGTAAATCACTTTATTATTTGCAAAGCTCTCTTCTGTCAAGAATCTTGTAAGGCATTTAGAGGAGGAAACTGAGGCTCCAAGAGGTTAAAAGTCTCACCCAAATTGGAGAAATAGTCCCTGAGGTGGAATTCTTCAGTAGCAGCAGCAGCAAAGGGTAATAACGTTTCTATAATCTTTAAGGCTTTCAAAACACTTTACAGAAGTTTTATCATTTGGTCCTCACAAAAACCCTCTGAGGTAAGTACTATTATCCCCATTTTACAGATGAGGAAAGTGAGGAAGACTGAGGTTAAGTGACTTTCCTTGGGTCACATAAGTAGTATGTCAGAATTCAAGCTCAGATCTCCCCTGACTCTAAGCCCTGTGTTGTATCTGCTTTGATTCACAGTCCAAGACTCTAGTCACTATTCCAGGCAATATTCTAATCACAGGATTTTACCTACTAAGGTATTACATGGTCTGTAGGAGAATTAAAATTTCAGGGAGATGATCTTTTCAATTTTGAGTCCTTCAGGTTCACGAGGAGGTTTCTCCTTGACCAAAAGGTTTAATAATATTTTCTCATTAAAAAAAAAAGTAAGAAAAAAAAACAATTCACCGTTTAAACTGTTTTGTAACTACATGAATCAACGTAAATAGCCAAAGAAAAGGCTCGGTGCTATCTCCACCCACTCCCTTTTTTCTTAGTCTTATGTGTAAAGTGTTTCCTGACTCTTCTTCCCACATACTAAAATTAGGATAAAGGATCTCAAAGAAGATTCCTTTCTAAGCTTCTGCCCCTTGTATCAAAAGGGGGGGGGGAGGCGGATACCTAAGAAATGAAGAGACAAAGAAATGCGAAAAGGGCACACCCAACGGGAGACGATTTCTTTTATGTATATATAGGTTTTTTTTCATTCCTTACTTATCAGTGACTTTGTAGAGATCTTTGGTCTGTGGGACAGTAGGATAAGGTCAACCATTATCTTCTTTGGGAAATTGTCTGGGTAGTGGAGAACACAGAGGGAAAGCTCGTCTGAAAATTAAAGTGAGCAAACAAAGAGAACTCCCCCCTGCTGCTAGCAAGCACAGCGCTGCCGCATCGGGAGACGTCACAAACCTACTAGCGGTTCGAGTCCGCCTTCCTAGGAAAAGTGCAAATAAATAATTGATCGAGAAGATCAAACATCCCTGGGGCGGGCTAAACTAAAGAAAAAAAATTTGCCTCCACATTGAGAGCGATGAGCAAAGCCCTCTTTTTTCTATTGGCTTTGTTATATGTGGCCACGTGCGAGTAAACGAGGACGGGGCGCTGGGAGTGGATCTCGCTGGTCCAGCCTTGGGCGTGGCTTCTTTAGACGTTGTGCCTCCCCGGAGCATTTTTTTTTTCTCCTTTGCTTTGCTTTCTCCTTTCTTCTTCCTTCCCTCTTCAGTCAGTGGTTCTTTCTTCAGTCAGGCCCGGTGCGGTCAGCTCCTGAATTCTATTGCACTTCCTGAGAATAGCCTGGCCCCGCTTGGTACCTCGAGTGGATGCGTCTAGGGAACAGCAGCCGGGCAGCTGGCATCCTGGGTGAGTAATGAACGCTTGCTAGATCACTCGTTTGCTGCCACCACCCACGCCGCCTAACATTAACGCCATTGTTCTCAAGGCTCGGGTGGGGAAGGGGCCACGGGAAGGGATCTATACCGAGAAACTGAACTTTCTTCCACTTTTTAAGAAGCGGTCCACTACAAACCTTCCCTTAGTGTTCCTGGATTTTTTTTTAAACGCTAGAGACTTGTATCTTTCCAAACCGGTCGGAATAATTGTGTGTGAAGTAAGCACTTCTAATACGAAATTCTGGATTCCTGACGAGGCAGCCTACGGGCAGTTGGAACCTGTGCGTTTGGGAAGGATTGGTAGCTTTTGTTATTGTTATTGTAGCTGTTAGTCATTTTGTTTTTCCTTCTGTTCTTTTGGTTTCTTGGACGGAGATTTCTATAAGAAAAGCTTGAAAGAGAGGCTACATTCTGTCACTTTCTGACAACCACGTGATGGCAACTGGTCGCCCGAGTGTGGTGCTGACTTACAGCGGGCTAGGACATTGTTTCTGGACAGAAAGCAGCAGGGCAGACTGCAGTCTAATGGTGAGCTGCCAAGCATGCCCTGGATCGCAGGTGGTCTCTGCCAGTTACAAGCAAACAGGGGTCGACTCCTTAGTGCCCACTGGCATTGTAACTCGATTCAGGTCTCTTGGGCCCTTTCCAATGACTTTGATGCAGTGAAATTTCAGGAGGGCTTGCAGATTTCCTGTGAACAAATAGAATTGGGGGAGAAGATGAAGAAAGCAAGTTGGGACTTACCTTTCTTCAAGGTTTTCTTTGTTCTCCAATTTCTCGGGGGTCGACATTCCCTAACTCCTGGTGCAATATGGATTTGATTCAGTAAATACTGAATATTGGCAGAGGAAAAATGATATTTAAAATATTGGAGGAAGAGAAATAATATATGAAATGATATGTGGAATACTAGAGGGAATAATATATGAACTATATGCAGCCACCAGAGTAGCCAGAAACTACAGTTCTATTAGGAGCAGTTAATATTTGGGAACTTTCTGCCAAGTCATGCACTTTTCCTGCAATCATTTTTAGGTGCTTCTCTTCGGGGTTTGGGGTGGAGGAATCTCAAGATTGCTGGTAACCCCAATATTGCCAATTCGCCTTTTCCAATGGAGAATATTCCATAATCTAATTTTCACAGAGGGTATAAAATGGACTCTGACCTTGCCAAACTGAATCAGGACTGTTCCTGTGTGTTGCTCTGAGTCATTCTCTTCTAGGATACAGCTAGTTCAGGATTTTAAATGAAGTAACAACACTGTGCCTCAGTTTCTTCACATATAAAAATTATTACCTAATTCAAAGGTTGTTGTGAGGAATGTGTTTTATAAATCTTAGATTTCACAGGTAGATCAAGGACTGTAGCCCACCTATCATTTATTAGTCTGAGGCTCAGAGAGGTTAACTGATTTGCTCATGGTCATATCTAGTAAAGGGCAGAGGTGGAATTAAATCCAGGTCTTTCTGACTCCAAATCCAGAACTCTAGCCACTGTATATTACTCCATGCTGCCTCTCAAAATGCTATATAAATGTAAGCTATTGCAATTACATATTATTGTTGTATAAAATTGATCCTATTCTAGTGGAAGTTAAGTTGATAGGCTCTACAAAGTAGAAAAACACTTACCCTGTAAAGGCCAGTGACAGGCTGTATATCAAAACTCTGTTTCTCAAAAAACAGTGTTCTGAATTAAGGTGGCAGCTCTTAGAGACAAAGTGGAAACATCAGGATTGCAAGTTAAATGAGTCAGCCTTATTTTGATTGAATTTTTAAAATACATTGGCTACACTACAGATAGCAGTCAAATTAAAAATAATCGGGATTAACAATTCCCTAGTATTTTGACAAGCCATATTATTTAATCTTGTAGATTTTTTTTTAAAGCTAGACAGTAGGCAGTATAGTGGAAAGAGTTCTGAGTTTGGAGTCAGCAAAACTAAATTCAAATTCAGAATCTTTCCACTTACTATCTGTGTGATTGTGGGAGAATTAGTCAAACTCTTTGGGCCTTAGTTTCCTCAGGAGAGTTAAAGTATACAATTTCTGAGGATCCTTCCAGTTACAAATCCTGAGATTTTGCAGATCATTTAGCTCAACTCCCTCATTTTACTAATGAGAAAACCAAGAAGTACAGAAGATAAGGATCTTGTTCAAGGTTCTGAAGTCTGTGATTGGCAGAACCTGGACTAGAACCAAAGTCTGGATACCCAATCAGTTGCTTTTTTCTGCTTCACCAAGCTGTTTTCTTCCCTTTCGAATAACTCCAAGTGTTGTCTCCACTATGCTTTAAAGTCACATGTGGTATGGATAAATATTCTTGTATCTACCAAAACATAGAAGTTTAGAATTGTTTTGCCTATTTATCATGGTTTTGGTTGTAATACTTTTCTTTCTCCTCTCCCTTTTCCTTTCCTCATGGACCTCCTTATGCTCCCCGTTTCATCTCCCTTCCTCCTATTCTTTCTCTCTTTTCTCCTCTTTCTCCTGCCCTAGCTCCTTCGAACCAAGTCCCTCACTACATAATCACACATAATTTTCCACTTTATATGTCTAATTATATCGAATACAACCATAGCATCCAAAATAGAACCCACCTACAAAGTTTCTGTCTTAATATTAGTATGAAGGGTAATAATGACAGCACATCCCTAAAATGAAAGCTGAGTTGGCATCTCCCAAGACTATTCTCGGATGTAGAAACTTGTCATTTTCCTCCATTAGGAGAAAAGCACATTTGTGTTAAGTACCTCCCAAGCACTATCATTTTTCACTCAGCGATCTCTCCAAAGGGAGAGTACCCCTTTGACCTGTAACAATCAAGACAAGCATGTTTGTCTTCTATTTTTCTCTCAGCTTTAAAGATAAGGCAGTCGGCTATGGCGATGATTAAGAAGGAGGATCACCAAGTGATGAAAGTCGTTCAATCCCTTTTGGGAATGTGAGTCTAGATAAACCATCCGCGGCAGGCCATGAATCAGCTACCTGTCGGGGGCACTGCCCCGGCTGCCTCTGCTGCTGCAGCAGCAGCGGCTACTGCCGCCGCCACCGCGGAGCCTCGCCTTCATCCTGAGGGCAGCAGCAGGAAGCAGCAAAGGGCTCAGTCACCGGCTAGACCCCGGGACAGTACAGTCCGACAGACAGCCACTGCCGCCAGGACCCCTGTAGGAACGAGCACCAAACTCAACTCTGCACGACAGCAGCAGCTTCAGCAACAGCAGCAGCAGGGATTGAAATCCAATAGCAGTCGCCTAGTGACTCCCTCTGGCATCCGGGGAGGCGGCGGCAGCGGAGGCGGCGGCAGTGGTGGTGGTGGTGGTGGTGGTGGAGGCAGCGGCAGCGGCAGCGGAGGAGGAGGAGGAGGAGCAGGAGGAGGAGGAGGAGGAGGAGGGGAAGGAGGGGGAGGGGCAGGGGAAAAGCCGCCGCCGCCTGCTACGCTCAAAGGCGCCCCGCTGGGAGCTGTCCAAACAGGAGGTGGTGCTGAAGCATCCCCAGCCGGTACCCCAACCACGGTGGGGAACAGGAGACCCTGTCCCACTGAGGAGCCGTCTCGGGATGGAGAAGCCGCGACCCCCAAATCAGCGGAGAAGGCTCAGCTAGGAGGAGGGGGAGGGGGAGGGGGAGGGGGAGGAGCAGGAGCAGGAGTAGGAGCAGGAGGAGGCTCTGGGGAAAGGGAGGGGGGCGCTCTGCAGCCGCCGCCGCCCAGAGGCTGGCGAGGTAAAGCCGGGCGCACGCCACAGAAGGGTGGCAGCGGCGGAGGAGAGGTGGCCTCCTCTTCACCATCCTCCTCCTCCTCCTCTTCTACTGGCAAAACCCCGGTTCCCACCAGTAGAAACCCCGGGAGCGTTGTTGCGGGGGGCGGTGGCGGCTACTGGAAAGAGGGATGTCTGCAGTCTGAGCTCATCCAGTTTCATCTCAAGAAGGAGCGGGCGGCGGCAGCTGCGGCAGCAGCTCAAATGCAAACCAAGAGCAGCAGCAATAGCAATAGCAGCTCCCCAGTCGCCACAGCCGCCTCGGGGCCTCTTTCCTCCCCTTCCCCCTCCCCAATGGCGGCTGCAGCAGAGGGCCTACAGCAGGGGGCAGGGGGCAGCCCAAGCAGCGGGGGGATGCAGGCGACTGCTCCGCCCTCGACACCGCAGCAACAGCAACAGCTACAGGAACAAGAAGAAATGCAAGAGGAAATGGAGAAGCTGCGAGAAGAGAATGAAACCCTCAAGGTGAGGGAGTGGAGAAGTGGGAGAGGAAGGGTGTGGGCCTGAAAGAAATAGGGTGTGTCGGGCTAAGGGAGAGATGTTTCTAACCTGTTAATGCGGCTTGGACAGGAAAGGAAGGAAATCCAAGGAGGAAAGGGCAAAGCAAATTCCAAATATAAAGGCCAATTCCTCCCTTTATTGCCTATAATCCAACTAGGCATTTTCCTAGTTCCTAAGTGTTTGTTTTGGAAGGAAATGATAAAGCATGGGTTGGATAATGTTAGATTGTATCGAGAATCCACTTTTGGGCCTTTAATTCTTTCATGGTTGTTCCATATTTTCTGGAAAACAAAGCCAGAGGACGAAAGAAGACTAGGTAGGGCCTAATTTACTACTTTCCCCCTTTTCCCTGACAGTCCTTTCTCACTACTGTATACTGGGGGTGAGTTGTTATAGGGTGGGGTTTTTAGGGGGAAGTGAATGTATGTAGACTCAGTCTCCTACTGCTTTCCCCATTTCCTGCTCCCACCCCTTTCCCTTCCTCTCCTCAGAACGAAATTGACGAACTGAGGACCGAAATGGATGAGATGAGGGACAGCTTCTTTGAGGAGGATGCCTGTCAGCTGCAGGAAATGCGCCACGAGTTGGAAAGAGCCAACAAAAACTGCCGAATTCTGCAGTACCGCCTCCGCAAAGCAGAACGCAAGAGGCTCCGCTATGCGCAGACGGGGGAAATTGATGGGGAGCTACTAAGAAGCATGGAGCAAGATCTCAAGGTTTGTGCAGAATTGGGGTTGGGCAGCTAGGAACCTTTGGAGAGCCTAATGGGTGGGGCATTTAAAGGAAGTTGGGGGAGTGGGCAGGGATCTGCAGAGGCCTAGAGGTTGGGTGGAGTATGCAGCAAGATAATCAGGCCCAAAAGAGAAATCTAGAATAGCTCCAGATATGGGGTTTCTTGCCAGGTAGAACTCTTTGTAGGATCCTCTGGATAAAAACAGACACATTCAGGGAGAAGAGGTGCCTTTCTATTTCCTAGAGATTGGCAAAGGAGTGGCAATGACAACCTTTACTGGAGATCTCTCTCTGAGCTGTTCAGCATCTGAACTTTATTAGGATGTTGAATGCCCAGGATTAACAGAATGGGAACCTCTTCATCGGGAAGCCATATTGAAAGACATGGAATAGGGAGAAATACTGAAACTAAAAATCAGGAGATAGGAGTTCTTGTACAAGATCAGTCTCTCACTAGCTTTGTGAACTTAAGCAAAATTTCTTGCCCAAAGTTTTTTCACCTGTAAAATGTGGAAGCTGGACTAAATGATTTCTAATGTTCCTTCCAGTTCTAAGAAAGTCCAAACTCTTTACTTCTCCCCCAACTTTCTTCATACCTCCCTTTTACAACTCCTCACGTGCCCACTCAAAACTAAATGCGGCCCATTTGCTGCTTCCCAAAGAGCTGAAGAACTGGAGAGAAATGAAGTCATCGGGTTAATCATGCACTTCAGCTGAAATGAGCTGTTTTTCAAAACTTTTCCCAAGGGAGAAAATCTCATCATTGAAATGTTGGAAAATATCAAACAGGTATTATCAGTCAACAGTAGCTCCCCACCCCCCACTTTGGAATCTGAGTTGAAAATCCAACCACAAAATGTATTGTCATGGACAGTAATCACACATTAGATTGATTTCTACAGTGTGGTGGGAGGGCACTAGTTTTTTTTTCAACTGCATAAAAATAAAATATAGTTAACTTATTCTTATTTTGAAGGAAGTCAAGAGGGCATTTTTAAAGGAATTCTGATATTCATTTGGTTCTCCCCTACTACTAAAATCAAAGCCAGATTTCCAAGGATAATTAAAACCTGCTGACCAAGAATATTTGCCTTATTTTCGTAGGAAATGTAAAGAAAGGCCTTCATCGTACAAATTTAATATTGAAAACTAAAATCAAGTATTGAATTTTTTTTCTATTTGCTGCAAACACTTAGTGAGCCCTAATCATAATATAATTATTTTTTAGTGATTTTAAAATATAATTTAATTTAGGTTGCAAAGGATGTTTCAGTGAGACTTCACCATGAATTGGAAAATGTAGAAGAAAAACGTACCACAACAGAAGATGAAAATGAGAAGTTGAGGCAACAGCTTATAGAAGTTGAGATTGCAAAACAGGCTTTACAGAATGAATTGGAAAAAATGAAAGAGGTCAGTGTTGAATTATTTTATGTTGTGTACTTTAAGCTCTTAAAAAAACCCCTTAATTTTATTTAAGATATGACTGTTGTTGAATATCATTTTCTCTATGAAACTTGTAATTAAGAGTTGTTTGACTTTGTGAGATTCTGTCATTTATGGGATGGTTGACAAACAGGTTACAACTGTCTAGATACCTCAGTGGATATATAGCCCTGGGCCTGGAGTCAGGAAGAACTAAGTTCAAACTGACCTCAGATACTTTCTATCTGTGTGACCATGGGCAAGTTACTTAACCTCGGTTTGCCTCAGTCTCTTCAACTGTAAAATGGGTATAATAATAGCACTTATCTCCCAGCACTGTTATGGGGATCAAATGAGATAATAACTGTAAAGTGCTTAGCACAGTGCTTGGCACATAGTAAGTACTTTATAAATGTTAGTTATGATTATTATTAGCAAATATTTGCCTAACCTAGACAGAAGAGTAAGAGTAATAATTAAATAAGTCCTTTAGAGCTTGCAAAATACTTTTCTCAACAACCCTATGAGGTAAGGTGGAACAAGATACATTAATTAAGTTCCATATTATTTGTAAAACACTTTTCTAATCTTAAAGCATTATGTTAGTAGTTATAACTATTATCATCCCCATTTTACAGATGAGTAAACAGAGCCTCTGAAAATTTCAGGAACTTATCCATGGTTACACCAGTAGAAAGTGTTTGAGATGGTATTTGAACCTACGCCTGGCTCCAAGTCTAGCTCTCTTTCCAGATTATGCTAGGGTTCATTCATTATTTCATTTAACAAATATTTAAAACGTGCTTACTTAAGTACTGTGCTTGGTGCTGGAGGTGATTAGATAAGTAAGAAGTGGTTAAAATCTTGAAAGTAGAAATTTTTTCATTCATAGTATTTATATGCACAGTACTTAGTACATAGTAGGTACTTACTAAATGATTATTGATTGGTTGATACAGTCTAATATCAAGAATTAGTTGATAAAATTCTAGTATTGGCCTTACAAATTAACTTGGTATATTAACCATTAGAGAACACTTTGCCATTCTGTTACCTGGAAAAGAATTTTAATAAAAGTAATTTCATTCTGACAACATAAATATGTCAAGAAGGATAGATGGATGAATGAATGGATAGTTTTACAATAGGGGATGGGAAGATTTAGTCTTTTAGTGTCAAGAATAGAGCATGTGGATCTAGATTCTAAAAGAATGGATGAGTCAAGAAATTACTGTCTTAATTACCTTATTATTTGATGTACAATGCCTGAGAACACATAGTACAGCCTTTGCTGACTGCCTTAGTAGTTAGCAGATGTTCTTGTGGCTCTTCTAGTGATTTCAAGTACCTGAATGTGAAATTCTCAGGAGAATCTTAATGGAGACCACTGGATCCAAAGCACCTAGATTCTTTCCCTTATTTCCTACTAGTTTGTACATTGGAACCTAAGACAAATTACTGCACTGTGCTTCATGTCTCTAATCACTTTGCCAACAGTCTACCACTGGGGTGAGTGGTAGTGGGAATGATAACATTTCCAAAACATTTTGAAGCTCTTTGTAGCAAATGGTTTTTGGGAGGGATGGAAAGGAATAAGGGACATGAAATTCTGTAATTGATGCTTCTGCTTGTTAATTTTCATGTTAGCAATATAGTGGTCTTTTTTTTCTTTTGCTTTTTTCCTTAAAGTTGATTTCCGTAATGACTTTGCAGTTTTTAACCAGAGCAAAAAGGATAATAGTCATTTTGGTGATGCTCAAATATTGAAAAACCAATTTTAATAAATGCAATAAAATTTACAGTACATGACATATACTATTTAAGAAGGAAAGAGATGAGAAATAACAGCAACATGGATAAAAGCCAGTTTGGGTCCCAATGGTACTATGCAGTTTAAGTATGGGTCATACAATACAGTATCGATTATCTGCTTATGTGAGTTGATTTCCAAGAAAAATCAAAACAGGAAGCCATTTAAAAGGCTAATGCAGAAAAAGCAACCTGATGATTCAATTTTCTGTTCAGACTCCATTTCCAGCATTCCATTTAGGCCATGTCTATACTCGGCCAAACATATGAATAAAAACTGAAGAATCCAATTGCTTACTAAGGTGAAAATTTTAAATGTAGTCATTTACATAGACTTCTTTTGGTGTCATGGAAATAAGAGTTCAAATGGGCATTAAAGAGTTTGGGGACAAAGGGTTTTTTTTGGTTGTTGTTGTTCTCTTGAGGATGGGGAGGGGGTGACTGGGAACTGGCAGGAAGTAATTCTCAATGAGAGAGAGACAGAGAGAGAGACATTGATTTCAATTTTCTAAATTCAATATTGGGGAAAAGTGTTGTTTTTTTTAAGTCTTGGCAGGATTTGTTTGGGAGCCTTCTGCTCTAAACACTGATTGTATTCAGAACAGTGATGGGAACAGGGGAGAATATTTAGAAACGTGTTGGAATCATCTATAGTTTCATGAAGACAGTAGTTTTATGATCCATCAACACATCAAATAAAAAACAACTTGTAATGGAGAGTTGTTTTGCTTTGTACACACAGGGAAGCAGAGTGCACTTCAGGAGGTAGGAACAGAGGAAATTAGAAAGTGGGTTGGGGGTGAGACATAAACTAGAAGACCTGAGACTAGCCAAGAAAGGTAATAGTATAGTAGAAAGTACACTGATTTTGGAGTCAGATTATGAAAACTTGAATCTTGACTGTGACATTAGCCATATGACCACTTAAGTTTTCTGAGTTTCAGATTAATAACTTTCTCACAACATACTTTGCAAATTTAAAGCCCTACATAAGTATAATCTATATATGTATATACGTATAAACACTTGGGATTATATAGGAGGGGATTAGGCTGGAAACAGCCTTGGGGTGTCTAAATATTATGAATTCTAAGCCTAATTTTATACCTGTTTGACTTTAGATAACTTCAGTTAGCCATCTGTTTCCTTGGTTATAAAACAGCATCATATGCAAGTCCTTGGTGAATCTTAACCTTCAACATAAGCCATTAATCGAGGAAAGAGGAACCAACCCTAATATTCCATTATGGAGTGGAAGAAGCTAATTTCATACCATCATGAAATATAAACTACAACAGAGCAGTGAAAAGTCACCGTCTAGCTTCTAATCTCTGGCTGCTGTAATTGATATGCAGATGTTGCACAGTACAACAGACACCAATAAGCCATCTGCTTCAGACTGGAAGCTTCTGTGCTTAGGGTTTAACTGGCTTCAGGGATGCTGACCAGTTGCTCTCAGAGCAACATTATACCTTAGTTCCTGCATGCACCAGATTGCACATATCTGCCTGTCTCCTACCTTGGCAACTGGGACCAAGGGATGTGAGTGGGGTGGAAAGTGTCTATAAGACAGTAATTCAGTTTTTTTCAGTGCAACTGTATGTTCCCAGGAAGATAGCTAGCCAATGTTCAGCCAACTGGAAGCCTGTGGGACCTCTCAGTGAACTTCGGGACCTATGAACTCCAGACTATATCTCATTTCTATAGTTAGTTAGCATTCCTTCTCACTAAGAAAATAATGTACACAGAAAGACCTATAAGAGAGAGAAAATAGAAGAATAACATAGAAAATAATAGTGTCATAGTCATTCAGTTATAATGTTTAGGGAGATTCAAGTTGTTAACAAGATAGCAACATGGCAAAAGCAACTAGCTTTTTGATTGCTAAGATAAATACTCTGTCTCTCTGTCTCTCCATCTGTCTTTCTATCTGTCTCTCTGTCTCTGTCTTTGTCTGTATCTTTGTCTCTCTCTTTCTCCCTTCTTCCCTCTCTCCCTTCCCCCCCCTTTCCCCTTCATGACTCTACTTCTCCAAAGGAACTATTTCCCTTTCAGAGTATTCACCTTTTCCATTGTCACAGTCAGTCTGATGGACTGAGGATTATTTTCTCAGCTTTTCCCATTTCTTGCTCTAGAGGGCTCTTAACCATTCTGGCTTCGTATGGCAGCATCCATCTTGAGACATCTTTTTGTATTTCTGCCAACTAGCTCTTTTCTATTGAAATGTATTTTTAAAAAAATAATTTTTATTTGAAACTTGAAGAGTGACCAGGTTATATGTAGTCTCATAACAGGTAAAGGTTGCATCTCTACTACTCATCCTCTATTTATAGACAAAATTCTTTAATAAATGGATGACTATATAATTACTTTTTTCCCCCTCAACTGAACTAAAGCATCCCCTCACCTAATGCTATTAGATTCTATATTGCATAATTTCCTAAATTCTATCATTAAATGATAGGTTAGTGAAAACACTGCCTTTGAGCATGTGTTTCTTTGAAATTGTTTTGCTTTTTCAAGGAAAGGCAAAAAAATTTTTTTAGTACTTTTATTTTTTATTTCAATAGGAACATAGGCATGAGCATCTTAAAGAAAATAAACTGGTGTTAGTATTCACAATTTTTTTTTTGTTTTTCAGATAAAACACATTTATAAAATTAATCTTCCTACTACCCTCACTCTATTAAGCAAATAAAAAAGTCCCTCAATATATATACCTGCGTAGTTTGACAAAACAAATTTCCTCATTAACCATGTTCAAAAATGGATGTCACTTCTGCATTTTAAGTTCATAACCTGTTAAAGAGGTGCATGGTCATTCTTTTGGATTTGTGGTCTGTCATTGCACTGATTACTTATAAAGTCTTTCAAAGTTGTTTTTCTGTGTAATGTTGCTACATAATATATACTATATATTGTACATATACATAATATATATGTAGAATACATAGTTATATATGTAGATAACTTACTGTATAAATTATTCTCTTAGTTCTTCTCATTTCACTCTTCATCAATACATAAAGGTCTTCCCAGTTTCCTCCAAAATTATCCATTTTATCAGTTATTATGGTACAATGATATTCCATTATACTCAAATACCACAATTTGTTCAGTGATTAGCCACTAAGAGTATACTTTCTTAGTTTCCAGTTTTGACTACGGGAAGAACAACT